GATTCGAAGATGTTAAATATTAAATGGCCATAAGTGGGCCATGTGGGCAACCCCCTGCCAAGAACCTACCATGACTGGAGATGGTTGAAATCCCACCCATGCAAATGATGATTTTAGGTGGTTTATGACACTGGGTTTACTACATTACACCCTCAATAATGAGTTGAACTGATGTTTGCAGGGAGCGTATGACCAACTGCAATGTGAAACCGGAAGGAATTTCCTCCCTCTAGCGGTTCAGCCGTGAGGAAGTTGGCCATTATGATATGGGAAATTCATGGAAATTCGATTGATGATGAAAGGGACAACACAAGGTTTCGAACAATGCTCCTGGAGAGGGACTGGGCCTGGTCTCATGACGCTGTAAAGTGTGGAACCATTCATCCTCGAAAGCATGGAAGTTGAAGTTGACAAGCCATTTATAATCATTTATATCTTGCGCTGCTGCATTCGAGGTTTTATGCCCCAGAATTTTTGATGGTAAAACACCGCTTTTTCCATATTTGTCCCGAAATTATATAGTCGTGAATTCCCCATCTTTTGGACAAAGCCATGTCCCATTCCGGCGTCGAGGTATGTCTCCGGAGGAGTATTAGGATGCCTGTGGGTTCCGGCCCTGGTACAGACATGGGCTCTGGGTAGGTTGAAATGGGAGAGTTCGCCCCCCTGAGATCCAATGGTTTATGTTTTATGCAATTTTGATGGAACATAAATATCTGAAAATATCATGTCTAACCATTGGATTTATGTAGACGCACATGGTTTTCCACACCTGACTGCTCGGTACAACCGAGAAACGTGAGTTGTAGTTGGGAAGGCTATCACACAAATCTGGAAATGTTGATGTTCTTAATGATGAATGATTACGTCTTTTGTCCCACAACTACTGCAAAATTTGTAACTCGCACAAAGCCAAGCTCAAAATTGCAGATTCTTGCAGTCTTGACTTAGTAGTTAGCATGGTAAGTCTCTTTGTGATCCATCATAACGCGTACCGGTATGTCCAACAACTCCGTGACTCTCACAACTCTCACGACCAAACCCCATCCACCAAAGTCCTTCAGCTAATTCGGATCGAACTGAGGAGGAACAGACAGAACATATGTCCACCTGGAACGATTGGCCCAGGCTTTGTACATTGGCTTGTCCATCTGGAACGATTCGCAAGGTTCATGAGGTCGGTGGCTTGCTGGAGATTGCTGGGGCCCAACAAACAAGCAGAATGGCAAGAAATGACAAGGTGGGATCTTAAAATGTACCGCATCGATCCGTATCGTTCATATGGAAGGACAAAAATTGCCAAGATTTTGCCAGCAAAGCTCCGTAAAGTTGTTACGCACTGGTGGCTGGATTTAAAGAGATGGTTCGCTGCCAATGGATACCTGAACTATCCTGAGCTGTGCGATTTCTTGACTGACCATGTACAAGTTGGTTATATTTGGGTCACATCGGGTCCCTTTGTAATAGGTCAATATCATGGACATATTATGACACATTTGTAGGAGTAAAAGTAGAGGTCCCTTTGGTCTTTTTGTCTTGAATAGTATTGAATAGTACTGAACTTTAGTCCAGCCATTTTGAGGGGCTTGATTGTTGGCAGTATGACACCTCACCACCCCAAAGCATGCAGCTTGAATGATTCTTGAAAGTAAATATTAAGACGGGGTCAGTAAGGTCAGTTGATATACACATATAAATTATATATATATATACACATCATATTAATCAATTTATCAATATTTGTGAATACAGTGCACAGTATGACCCTTCAACTCAGTTGTCCCTGGAGCGTAATTCGCATGGACCCGAAGCCATTTTGGCTGCTGGCACAGGACCCACGTGGAAAACCGCAGGTGCGGCGGCGTTTGTGCTTGGCGCTGCTGGTCTTGAACTGGCAGCGGAGCAGGTTCGATCCGGCGCGCAGTGGGCAATCATGGCGCCAGACTTTGGAAAGGGCTAGGGCAACTTGGTGAACACCTTGGAGGTGATTTTTGGTGGCTGCACGTGGTGAGTAATCACTGCACGAGACTTTGGGAAAGTCGAGGGCGGCCTGGTGAACATCTTAGAGGTTGGGACTGGGGCTTGGGCCAAGGTAGGGTTCAGTGCTGGCAGGATGAGCTCGTACTACGGGCAGGGTTGGCCGGTCTATGGTGTCGAAATTGACAGTTTTGAAGCTCCAGAAGATAGGGCTGACAATAGCGACAGTTCAGGTTGGGCGAATTGGAGCGGGGTGGGCAGCCGTAGATCTTTTGGGCGCTTTGAGGCGCCAGTGGAGAACTATGACATTGCCTCCAACGCTTCCTACGACTCGTCAGATCAGTCGTGGTGGCGTGGTGGCGATCGATGGTCGTGGTCATCGTGGAGCGGCTCGTCAAATGCAAGCCGCGAAAATTGGGCGTATGTGACTGCAACACGTCGCAATGGCGATAGTTGGGATCGGAATGATCCGTGGCACTGGTGGCATTCTTCTGAATCAGCTGCACTACGTGCTCCTGAAGTTCATCGTTGTGATGAAGGACAACGCGGCGATGGCGAACGAGGGCATCATTCGGGAGATTCAGAACCTGAAGATGGTCCGAAGGGCGATTTGCCCAGTGGAAAAGTGGTCAGTGTCCATGAGAAAGCTGACAAGGACGAAGAGAAGAAGGCCAATGGGAAGATTTCGGCATCATACCCGCCTGTCTTTCGGGCTCGTCAAGGAGAAAGTTACCGAGATTGGAAGCGAGCAGTGCGCTTCTGGCTACATGGAGAAGGCCAACAACTCTCGACCAAATTGGTCGGACCAAGGGTCATGGTGCAACTTCGTGACCGAGCAGCTCAGTTGGTGAAGCACTTGGAGCCGCAGGACGTTGATGGAGCTGATGGCTTGGAAAAGATCTTCAGCACGCTGGAGAAGACTCCCATAGTGCGACAGACTGAGAAACATCGAGTGGACTGGCACCGGAAGAGGTTGTTGGCTCTCTCACGACTTCCTGGAGAGAGCTTGGAAAGCTACATCACCAGAGCAGGCCTCTACAAAGACCAATTGGAGTCTCTTGATGCTTCGCTGTCCATGGGAGAGCGGTTCTATGTGGGGCATCTCTTAGACCATGCTCGCCTCACTCGACGAGACAAAGCTCTGATCAAGACGCATGCAGTGGCGGAGAGCGAGGAGGCGATCACTGGAGCCATGATGGAACTTTCAGCAGAATTGGAAGGCGAGAATGGCTTCCCCATAGGACAAGCAGAGGCACAACTCAGTGGGGCACAAGGAGAGGAGCATTTGGTGCAACGTGGTGTGGTGGGCTTCCGCTACAAGAAGGACAACAAGCAAGCCTTGGTGGCAGAGATGACCGACTTAGAGACGGCCACAACTGTTTCAGCTGAGGCTATGGCCGAAGATGGCATGGGAGAAGAGAGTTGTGAAGAAGTCGAGGGAATTCCCACCGACGTGTTGCACGCCGAACATGAGGCGCTGGCCATGCAGTACAAGGCGAAGCAGAAAATGGCCGAGGTGAAGAAGCTTAGAAACTTCTATCGACGCCCCGACAATGACTCCAAGAAGGGCTCGAAGGGTGGCAAATGTTTTGTCTGTGATGAAGCAGGGCATTTTGCTCGCGACTGTCCCAAGGTCAAAGCGGCCTTGGCTTCCAATCCTGTTTTGGTGGCAGCCCCGACACCTAGGTCGCAGGAAGATCCTGACCATCAATGGGGACTGCTTGAAGAACTTTGCCAACACGGCAAGATCATGGATCGTCGTGCACAGGAGGCATACATGGTGCTGATGGGTGTTCAGGTGGAAGGTGCAATCAGTACAAGTCACAGTTCACATCATACTATCAACACAACCAAGTCTTCTACATCTACGGTATCCCCTTTTGAAACATGGTGGAATATGAAAGAGTTGGCAAAGAAGGTGATTTTGGATTTGGGTTGCATGCGCAACGTCGTGGGGGTTCAATGGGCCAACGATGTGATTGAGGAATGGCGAAAGCATGGACGTTGGTGTAGGGTGATACCAGAAGAAGAAGTTTTTAGATTTGGGGATGGAAACACGTTGAAGAGTCGGTTCAGATTGCAACTGGAAGCCACTTTTGGAGGGAAGAGAGTTTTGCTGGCTTTCAGTGTCGTGGGTGGTCCTTGTCCTCCTTTGCTCTCCAAACAATCACATACTCTTCTTGGCATCCAACTTGACACCTCCAATCACACTTTGTCTTCTAGGAAGTTGAAGGTCAAGAACTATGGTTTGCACGAGTCTAGGGCAGGGCACTACACAGTTAGAATAGATGAGTTTGGCTTGTTGACAGAGAGCTGGAATCCTCCGGACGACTTTGTGATGGATGACAATTTGGAGGTGATGTTGACATGGCATGCTGAATCTGGTGCTCGAGAGGTTTTTGGCTCACAGCTGGATCAAGCTCGACGGGCCCACGATCTAGCTCATGGACGCCCCGAGCGCCAACCCACCGCAATGCCGACTATGCCAACAGCTGGGTCATCACACTCGCGATTGCCCGGAGATCTCGGACGAGGAGAGGTCTTACGAGATCCCTCCGACAATCACCATGGAGGAGAGGCATCTGGAAGAAGCCGCTCGCCTGTCGGAGCCGCGAGCCAATGTGAGAAAGGAAGCTCCTCAGGCCATGGAGGTCGAGAACCGTCGGCGAGATCGAGGACCAGAAGCCCGAGCCAAGGCTGTCATGGTACCAGCACAAGCTGTCTCGCCACAGAAGGGAACGCCGAAGAGGGCACCGAGATTGCAGAGAGGGCTTCCAGCATCGGAGGACGAGCCCGACACCCTCGAGATTGTGGACACGGAGAACATCCAAGGATTGACGGCCGAGGAGTTGAAGATGATCCACAAGCGAAGAAGCCAGCAGGCGACGAGGGCACAACAGAAGATGGCCACACAGGCCTTGACAGGAATGGGAAGCTCCCTATCCATCTTTGAGCAACGTCTACAGCGACGACCTGGCCTGCAATGTGATGAGGAGCACCTGCAGCCGCTTGAGGACGTATCTATGGAAGAAGCTCCTCTGGCAGATGCGAGTGAAGGAGGCTGTGAAGATCGAGTCGAAGGGACGAGCCAACTGGAAGCGGAATCCGCGTTGGCTGAACCTCCTTCTGAGCTACGAGGTGGCATCTCTGTGGGGTCACTTCGGGGCGATGCGGCAGCGTCTGAGGAGCTCCGACTTCATCCGCCAGGGCTATGGGCTCGAGTCAACCCCCAAAGAGGATTTGTCCAGAAACTCAAGCAAGCAATGAAGGATGCACGAGAGCGGCATGTGGCTGTCACGGAGACCAGGGAACTACGCCCGAACTATATCGTCCTCGAGCTCTTTGCTGGATGTGCGAGGCTCACTACGACAGCTGCAGACCGTGCAGGATGGGAAACGATGGCGCCGGTGGACATCATCTACGGCCAGGATCTGCATGATGCGGAGACGCGGAAGGGAGTCCTTGAGGCAATCAAGGAGGCAAAGCCTGACTTGGTTACGATGAGTCCACGGTGCGGGCCATGGTCACAGTTTCAGCGCATCAACCCCAACATTGACAAGGTGATGGAGGACAGGAGGGAGGACATCCCACTTTGGAGGTTCTGCCGCGAAGTGTGGGACGAGCAGACGAAGCATGGTCGCCTGGCTTTGACCGAGAACCCAGCTCAATCAGCGGCTCTGCTCATGGACTTTATGATGGCGAGGCCAAACCTTCATAGAGCCAAGGTGCCACAATGTGCCTTTGGTCTATGTGATGTGGTTAGTGGGAAGCCGCATCAGAAGTTCACGGCCTTCGATGTGAATGATGAGGACATGAAGGAGGCCTTGCTGGTAGGTGCAGTATGTCATCACACCCCCGAGGAGCACCAGGCGATTGAGGGGAACGTCTTCTATGAAGGACGATGGCAACGAAGGTCAGCTCTGGCTGCAAAGTGGCCTCCTCGCCTTTGTGAACACATTCCCTGGGCAGCTGAACAGGCATGGGAAAAATGTGATGTAGAGGCGCCCAGGAAGTTGACGGAGACACGAGCTCCGGGGCGTTCCCACTATGTGATGCCGGTCGAGCCATTTCCAACCCCTGAGGGACAACTTCGCAGAGAGCTGGAGAAAGCAGACTGGCGTGGTGGCCAGTATGACTACGTCTTCTTTGAAGGGGTGGCGCGACAAGGTCCTCACAAGATACGCCAAGCTTTGGCTCATCTACATGTGGTTTTGGGACACCCCTCTCGAGAACGCTTGGTGAGGATGTTGCTGGTGAGTGGAGCGAGCCAGGCTGTGGTGGACATGGTCAAGGGACTACGATGTCAGATCTGCCAAGCAGTGCGACCACCAGGAGCTGAACCCAAGGTGAATGCACACCGTGCTACGAGGTTCGGTGAGAAACTGCTTGGGGACTCCTTCTATGTGTGGGACATCAATGGGGAGAGGTTCAACGTGACGCACTTCATTGACGCGCTCACGGAGTTCCACATTGGGAATGCCAGCAAGCAGGTCAGCGCTGAGTTCACGGCGGAGATCTTGCAACATCGGTGGTGCGGCATCTCTGGGCCCCCAGAAGTTTTGCAGACGGATGGCGGCAAAGAGTTTGTGGAGGTGGTGCAGAGATTGCCCAGGCTCTTGGACTTTAGGCACGTAGTGCCCCCTGGTGCGAAGTAGCGACAGGGACAAGTTGAACGACACGGAGCAATCATCAAGCTTATGATGATGCGGGTGATTGCATTGCACCAGATTGCAGGTTTGGAGGATATGAAGTTGGTGGCAACCAGCTGCTTCAACGCCAAGAACAGGCTCTGCAATCGAGCTGGACTCTCGCCTTTGCAGGCGGTGACGGGCAAGAACAACGTGGTCCCGCAGTCCATCATGGATCAGCTCTGCAGTGGGCAAGTGCGCTGCACCATCAATGATGAGTTGGAGGTGCGTGACGCTTTGGGACGAGCTGAGCGCATCAGATCAGCTGCAGTGGACAGTTTCAATTGGGTGGATTCTTCCGAAGTTATCCGAAAGGCATTGAATTGCCGATCACGTCCGCCAAAGCTGGACAACTTGCAGGAGGGCATGACGGTCTATGTCCATGAGCCGCCACCATCTCGACGAGGCCAACACCGTCGATTACAAGATCACTCGAGTTGGGACGGCCCTGGACTGGTGGTTTGCATCGAGAAGCAGGATGGTGCCCCTCGCCGAGTGTGGGTGAGGTTGCGTTCCAAGGTGCGTAGCTTTCCTCTGGAAAAGATCCGGCTGGCAACCCCGGATGAAATGCTGGGATCACAGTTTGTGATCCAAGCGCTGGATGATGTGTTCAAAGACATCAAAGAGGGTAAGTTGGTCTTGGAAGAGAACAAGCGTCGCTCGGTTTTACAACCTGCGACCCCTGCACCACCTGGAGCTCAACGACGAGGAGCCAACATGGATGCCGACTTCATGCTGGATGACAGAGAAGCAGAGCTTCGTGCGAGACAGGTGAGAAGGGTGGAGCTGATGAGCGATGTACCTCATTCGGTGAGGCAAGCGATTTCCACCAGCTCGAGCAGTGCCGCGACCAGCGTCGCCTTGGTGAGGGGACTCCAAGCAGAAGAACGTCAAGACCTCTTGGACGAGGATGACGCGATGCCCACTCTCACCGATGGCGATGAGGAGGTGGACTTGGCGATGGAAGAGGCCGAGAGACAGGAGCCAAGCTCTATGGCCTTTCAGCAGAAGAAGAAGATGTTTGAAGAGATCGGGCGCTCCAAACAAGGTATGCCATCGAAGCTCACGGAGGCACAGCTTCGAGCAGGCATGGCTACGGCAAGCACTCAGGTGAAGAAGATCCGAAAGTTGATTCGGAAGTCCCGACAGGCATCAAGCAATGATATGAGAAAAAGGAGGACCGACAGGCAGACGGCTGCTAGTCTGGTCATGTATGCCGAGAAAACAGATACGGCATGCGAGAAGGTGTGGCAAGATGCCTTACAAGAGATGGAGCTGCAAGAGGCTTTTTGGACATTGCCAGAGATTGAGGAGAAAGCGGTGAAGGACATGCAGGATGACCTGGAGTGGCGAGACACTGCACATGGCGCCGCGATTGCCAGCAGCAAGATCGTCACGGGAAAGGCTCGTTTGGAGCTGGCTTGGCAGAAGCTGGATGAGAAGTGGCGCGCCGCCTTCAAGGATCCGATCTTGAAGGCGGTCAAGATCTACTTTGATCACGATGCTTTGGAGGGTGTGCCCAAGGACAAGTACATCGACCCGAAGCGCATCCTCAACTCCCGCTTTGTCCTCACAAACAAGGGTGGGTACGACCTGTCGGAGGCGCAGTTGAAAGCCCGTCTCATCTTGGGAGGTCACAATGATCCGGACATGGGCAGGTATGCCACTCTGGCACCAACGGCAGCACTTCTGGCGCACAATCTGATTAACTGGCTGAGTGTGCAGTTGGGTTGGACAGTACACTATGAAGATGTGTCTAGTGCCTTTTTGCAAGGCAAGCATCTACCTCGAGAACGCGAGGTCTACATGAAGATTCCCCAGGGCTACCCGGAGTATGTGCAGGAGTTCATCCGACTTCAACTTGGAGACGGATACCGAGCTGATTTGGTGCGCATGACCAAGGGAGGATTTGGCCTTCCAGAGAGCCCTCGACTGTGGTATTTGGAGTACGCCGACACCCTCAAGATCTGCGGCATGCGAGAACTGAATTTGCTGCCTGGGGTCTTCGTGGCGTACCATGATGATGGATCCCTCAGGGCTTTGGCTTGCATACATGTTGATGACACCAGGTATGCTGGTGATGAATCGTCAGAGAAGATTTGGGAGGAGGTTCACAAGCGCCTCAACTTTGGAAAGCTGCGCAAAGCCACTGATGGCTGGACAAAGTTTTGTGGGTGTTGGGAACGACAAGATCCCCAGACCCTGGAGTTCATCTACCAGATGGACGAGTATGCCAAGCTCTTTCAGAAGGTGACCATCCGGCGTACCGCCGACAACCTCATGACCAAGGAGGAGAAAGTGGAGCTGTCATCCCTGATTGGCCAGCTCAACTGGATGAGCCGCCAGGGAAGGTATGACCTTTCTTTTGGGGTCTCACATGTGCAGCAGTTGGCTGCGGGTGATGGGAAGGAAGCTTTGGAATGGCCCAACAAGGTGGTGTATCGAGCCAAGCAGTCCCAACATCAGGTGGTCAAGAAGTTCGACGACTGGCAGAACTTCGTGGTGATTTCCGCGAGTGACGCGGCATATGGAGCTCAGCCAGGTGGACGAAGCCAAGGTGGAGTCGTGGTGGGTCTGGCTGAAGCGAAGATCTTGGAAGGTGAGGCCAAGATCTGCATAGTGGAAGCGGCCAGCATGAAGATCCAGCGCGTGGTTCGATGCAGCATGAGCGCTGAGGTTAGCATGGCCGCTACAGCTTTTGAGCACGGAGATTTCGTGAGGGCAGCTTTGTCAGAGATGATCAACCGAGACTTCCAGCTCAAGCAATGGAAGTTGTGGGCGAGCATGCGCCCACACTATCTGGTGATCGATGCGAAGACAGGCTTCGACGTCCTCACGAATGAGACTCAGACCACGGACCGCAAGATCCAAATTGATTTGGCCGTCCTCAAACAGGCCTTGACAGAGAACACCTCCGAGACCTTCGTCAAATGGGTGCCGGGGCATCACATGATCGCGGATGCGATGACCAAGTGGTTCAACAATGGAGCCCTGGTGAAAGCTCTCACTGAAGGAGTGTGGTCACTGAGAGATACGGAAGAGGCGTCCAATTTACGCAAAGAGGCCGCGCGAAAACGCCAGCAATACAAAGATGCTCGCAGGGACCGAGGGGGGGATGTGTGAATACAGTGCACAGTATGACCCTTCAACTCAGTTGTCCCTGGAGCGTAATTCGCATGGACCCGAAGCCATTTTGGCTGCTGGCACAGGACCCACGTGGAAAACCGCAGGTGCGGCGGCGTTTGTGCTTGGCGCTGCTGGTCTTGAACTATATTCAAAAACTGATTGAAGAGTGCATTTGTTTACATGATTATACATATATATTATATATATATATACACAGTTATAATCAGAAATACCAGCACACATTTGATGCCGGCAGATGCCACTGGCGAAGGTCAACTCGCCATCTCGCCGAGATGGCAAGGAGCACCACGGAGCAGCCCGTAACGGAGCTGACGTCACGTTTTGTTGAGCTTCGTTGGGCTATAGCCATGTGTTGCAAGGAGTTTTTGAGGATAAAGAAAGGGGGCCAAGTTCAAAAACATTCGAAAACCCTCCCAGTGGCATTTGATAAACTTTTAAAAGGTGGGGACATGGGATCAGGTTGGTACAAAAATCTGTGCAGTCTCCACGTTTTGAGTCATCTCCGGCAATGGGCTCAATCAGTCTAGAGATGTATCACTGTGGTTTGAAAGGCCGACCCGTACATGCTGCAGAGCTTCGTTGAGACAGCAAGGTGTTGGTAACGTGCCAAAAAAACGCTTCTATATAAACTTGAGCATTTCGCTCTTGACCTCGTTCAGTTGCCCATATCATGTCCATATCGTGTCCATGTTGTAGCCTCTTTGGTTTTTGGGGGATGACTGTTTTGAGACTTCCAGTGGTTGGATTTCTGATTTAATGTGACCAATCCACCACGACACCTTGCAGTCCAACCGGACCAAGTGATGCGACTCGGTCATATTCAACGTGTAGCAAGTCTCACCACGAGCCATCCGTAGGTTGCTGGCAGGTTTTCTTGGTGAATTTCCATTCCAATTTCCTTCATGTGGGTGTGACCGGCAATGGGCTATTGGTATGCCAATGTAATCCAATGTATACCGCTTATACCCTAAGTCTGGCCCCTTGAAGAGGTGATGGGATGTTAAAAATGTATTGTTTTCTTTCTTATATTCGCGTATCATGGGATTGATCTTGGGATTGTCAGTGGCTGGCCCCCACCTAAATCGCTTAAAACTGCACGATTGGCGCTAGGTTGGCGCTGTGGTTTTCGAATCATAAGTGTATGGATATAACATATATTTATATATATTACTATGATAATTTGGCATCAATATTAATATCATGGCGAAACTCGAGAATGCACGCTGAACATCCGAGCTAGATCCGCTAGGAAAACTTACACATGTGAGGAGTTGCCCACGGAATCAGGATATTCATGGATATTCATCATAAATAAAGCTAGGTATTGGAAATTGTGTTGCCTTGTTTCCCTTACGTATCGCTCCCATATGCTTGGCTCTTTTTCATGACCCTTATTTGGCCCAGCGTCAAACAGGTGATCCAATTCCGGTGGGTTTACATTATATGCACCAGAAGCGGGCCACCAGAACAGCCTAGTAGAAGCTAGTAGATACTTTCTGGGAGACAGTTTGACAATCGATCATATAAAATAACAACCATTGGTATGATTTAATATTTGGTGGTTCGATGTTTGTAACTTTCTGGATGTCAAATGATACTGGTATCAACGGGAAGAAAGAACAACATGATGACAACATGTACAACTGCCAGTGCACCGCGGCTTTGGTTTCAGTGCAGCCGAGGTGGTCGAAGCTCAAATTGGCTGCAAGTCAGAGTCGAGCAACGTCAATCACATTTACAACACTTGTTTTTCACAAGCTTGCACGAAAGGGCCAAAACTCTAGGCAGCGGAGTTTTTGCGAAATTTACAATAGATGTGGTTGTAAAAAGATCTGAATCTGAACGTGTTCCATCCCTAATGTGGTAAACCCAATAATCAACCACCCCAGTGTTGAAATCATCCCATTTCAAGGGGTACCCCATGGTATACCCTCTATAGAAAAAAATATTATATATATATATATATATACAATATATAATATAATATAATATAATATAATATAATATATATATTATTTTTTTTATATATATATATACTATGCATTATTATCTTAGGTTTACCTCATTTCTCAAGGCCACATATGTCGAGCGGCTCAACTCTGCGGGACCTCCTCCGAAGGGGAAGGGCCACGTTCGCGGCAAAAACTGCGGTCCTGTGTGATCTTCGGATTGTCATCTCATTACCCTCTGGTAATTTAATATCGCCATGGAAGCCATGGTCCATAGAAATAGATGGTTTACCTATTCAAAATGGTGATTTTCCATGGCTATGTTAAATAACCAGATGGTAATTCAAGTGTTAGAAGGGTTCATACACCTCAGCAGTTTTCTGCCGGTTTCCTACCACACGTGCGTTTGTGCGCCTGCAGGGCCAAGAGCAAAGCCGAATTAGGAAATCACGAGCTAGATTGCTAGATGTGCAACGTTAACCGTCACACAAGGGACGCCACAAAAAGTGGCATAAATGTACATGGATCATCATGGAACTATCCCAAAACTGGATGAGGATTTCACCGTGAAAAATTCTGTTCCCCAATAGGTTCCAGGCGTCACTCTCCAGGCCGGTTGGGGTGCATCACCTTGGCTACCATGATTTTCCAGTACACTGGGGATTGGCTACCATGATTTCTCAATGTCATGTTTTACCAGGGTGTAGCCAGCCATCCAGCAGTTTTGATTCAAGGGTCCTGAATTTCGTGCTGATTTTAAGTGGCATAGATTTATTGCGAAGCCAGACTTATGTCCTGCACGTTTTGCTGATCATGGGGGAGATCTCACAGCACTCACAACCTCACTAAACTACAGTCCGGCAATCAAACATGACAATGGAAAATCCACCATTTGTCATATGAAGACCTGCATTTATGGAGGATTTCTCATTGCCATGTTTGATTCCCGGAGGGTAAGCCTCAAGATGTGGCTTTGCGTTGCCGCCCCAACGCCGTAAAAGCGGTGCTGCGGTTTTGAACCATGCACTCCATCCACATCCGGCACCGCAGATGCCTACCCCGCGACCGGTCACAATAGTGCGATCGGGGTGTCCGGAACGGAAAAACTATGTTGGTTTCTCTCTATGTTGACCGATCTGTTTCCACTTTTCTAGTTTGGTGAGGGTATATTGTTACTATCATTAGGCGGACGGGATTAACCGGACAGGTATTGACGGGCCGTTTAGGCTCACGGAACAGAATATGGCCTCATTGTCAAGGGTCCTCGGCTACAGCAGCGTAAATCTCCAAAATGGTCTCTTTCCGACATACCTGCACAGCTACCCTAGGGTAAGCATGGATCAACTACCCTAGATTTGGAAAACCCATGGTTTTTTCCAGGATAATAATCAACAAAGGTTTTCCACATCTATGTTAGCTTACTATAACCTAGGAAGCCAAAAGCATGCAAAATGTTGGTAACTTCGGGAAAGCAGTCTTTTTCCCAACAATTACGTTTTTGGCTTTCTATATTATTGCCCTATTTTTTGGGGGTGCCATTTTACGGTATTTTGTTTCAGTGATGTCAACACGGTCTGAAAACAATAGCGGACATTCCCGGAAAAGTGCCGGAAATTGACGGAAAAATAGCGGAAAGAGATTTGCAAACAAATTCGGAAATGTCCGATTACTATGTTTAGCTTTAAAATCAATGATTACCAATGATTACCAATTTTTTTCGAAATTTTGCAACGTTGGGATTTCAAGGAAGTAGCGTGCAATCTGATGCAATCTGTAGGTCCTGCATTGCTGCATCCAACCTGCTACCAAGCTTTGATGGAGTGCGATCACCAGATATCAGTCCTTTGATGGACGATAGGCTAAGCAGAAGCCCAGCGGCATCAGAGGAAAAGAGCCAGAGCGCCGAAAATCCACGAGATTCAAGGAATTTTGCATAGAATAGTTACAGTATATGGGGATGCATCGAAAGCTACTATATGAGGGGATCCCCACGAATCCATAATCTGTATAGGAGTTTTTTTTGGTTTGAGCAGAAGGGTCATCATATGGGTAGTCGTGAAATCAATAGGATGATCTGACAAATCTCACAGGTTTGGTACGCCAATTCCTCAAGTTGACAACTGCTCTGAAACTGCTTGCTGGGAAGTTTGGGGAAGATGCAGCTCCTGACGTTGTTTATCTTGAGACTATGATTTGTGAGCTTGTTCTATCTATCTCTATCATTCATGATATATATATAATTTATATAATAGTTATTCATGTATATTCATGTATATTCATGTATTTATGCATGTATATTTGCATATATTTATATAGCATACCGCATACCTGTATGGCACGAAAACAGGCATCACTCTTTGAATTTGACAGTGCGCTGGATTCAAGACATTTCCCCTCTCACAAAGCCGCACACGGGGCAGGATGTAAACCATCCCAGGTCATTTTGACATTTGGACATTGGATTAGCGGTTGGATGAACGGTTTGTTTAATGTGATAAACCCAGGACAAAGCCCCAATTGGTTACGATTGGTCACGTTTCTTGCAGAAACCCAGTCAGAATTGTTCATGTGTCAGTAGAATTACGTATGTCAATGTACTCTACTGGTCTTTTCTAGTGTGATTATTCATTTTGGTGAATTTTGATTTGTTATTTCAGTATTTCAGTCATTATCTCGATTATTATGCACAAATCAACGCGTACCTAAGACCAGTTTTGACTTGTATTTGACTGTATTTGCCTTATTGATCATTGTTTCACATGGTTTGGATCAAACTAGTCTCACATGAACCAACTTACGCAATCGCGTGTGCTGATTTCATACGGACACTTGAGGTAGATAGTTCTTCAATGTTCTTATTGCATTCAGTAAGATGGATTTTTTTCAGCCTGCGGTAATCAAACATGGTTTGCTGGATAAACCCAGATGGCTCAGATATAGTTCGATGACTTTCCCAGCTACAAACTTTAAAGCAGGTCATTTCTCGTGGATTTCCCAGCCATTTTTGAGGACACGTGGCTCACAGGGCGGCCCAGCGATATCTTCTGGTCATTGATGTCACTTGTCGTGTTTTGTCTATTTGGGCTACGTATTCCATGCACAGCAAACACTGACATGTTTGTTGTTTTTGTTACTGCATTGTTTGATTTGAAACAAAGTGAAAATTGCCAAAGACGCAGTTCGAGACTGAATTTATGTCATCCTAAAAATCCTGCGGTTGCAAAATGCCACCCTGCATGGCGCTAAGACAGTGAAGGCAGGGCCAAAAAGTTGTTCCTCGTCCAAAAACATGACAACTGCGCAGAATAAATTCTAGCCAAGCCAAGTTCGATCCACGATGCGTTCAGTATAGAGATCTTCTAAATGCAAGCCGTGTTAAGCTGCGTGCCGATGTTGTGCCTATGCTGAGACATGTTGGGCGATTTTGGGCCCATGTTGGGCCTATGTTGGCCCATGATGGGCCCATGCTGGGCCCATTTTGGGCCATGTTAACCCAAATTTGGCAACTTAGCCGATGATTTTACGTCACTTTAAAAAACGTGGAAAAACACGGGATTCTAGAGCAAAAATGCCGCCCCAAACTAAAGCTATTGCTTACGGATCACGCGTGCCTAGAAAAAACGCCTCGGCACCTTCGGTGCGGGCAGATTTCGCAAGGTTGATGTCTGGTTGTTTCGGCTTTTAATGAGATACACTGTTCGCAACAGCCAAGTCCAGGAAGAATGGTGCATCAGCAATCGTGCAATGACGGGCTTTTGGGCATTTTTGATAGGGTTTTATCAAGCTATCCCTACCCAGAACGGGGATCATTGCTAGAAGTTGGGATTCTTCGTTTAAAAAAGTGCTGGCCTATCAACATCAACCATCGGCTTCATAGAAAACATGCCATCCCCACAGTGGGCATTGCATCGCAGCACTGCTCTTTTGTTCCAAAGCTACGCATCGCTCGCAGCGCTCGCAGCATCGTCATGGGCTTCCGCTACCAGATGACCTTCATTGACGACGTTGCGCCTGCAGGGGTCGTCCGAGCAAAGAGCTGTCCACCGGTGCTGAAGCTCTGCCCTTTTGTTAATGTGGGAAAGTCGTGGAAAGCCAACCATGAACCATCCCGAATTTTCAAAGAAACAGATGGTGTATACTCAATTTGCAGTTTTATTTGGCACCGAAATCCAGTCTCTCTAATACTCTATCCTTAAACCTTCCTCCAAAGGTGGTGGTCGTAATGAACTTTTATTACAAGGACGCAGTTAAAAGACAAATCGGACCAACAACAATCCAACAACAAATAGACGACCTTAAACAACTCGTTAAATGATTTTTGGGGGGACCTTTCAACAATCCGAAGAAGGGATGATTATCATCGCTGGAGGTCAGGACTGTTTGATCTGCCAAGGAAGATGCCGAAAGTGTCGAAAGATGCATCCCTCCTTGACTTGATTTACGAGCGAAAGCTGCTCGCGCTGCAGGTACCTTGGATTCCAAAAGTGAAGACTCCCTTGCCTCAAATATGTGTAATTTGTTTGATGATTTCTCAAGCTACCTGCGTGTGTGCAAAACATCATTTTTCTTGCAAGTATTTTTGATTTTACAAGGTAGACTGTTTGTTTATGTGCACAATGTTTGCCCAGGATGTAGTAGTTTATGTTTATAGTCCTATAGAGCAATATATATATATATTATGTGTGTGTAAAGATGTATATTGATGCATATAGATATATATAGATGTATATAGTAGTTACCTGCGAAACCCAAGTGCAGGAAAAAACAGCGATGGACCACCTTGGTTTGAAAAAACGCGATGGAAAAGAAAAATTGCGGCACCCACAGCCTCGTTCTCTGTTAAGTCTGGGCACCATGGATTCGGGGGAATTGGTGCTGTGGAAACAACAGATAGAGAGGCGGGTTCTTGAAATTCTTGGGCCATAGCCACACATGCTGGAAATGGTTGAAAAAATTGCCCGCAAGTTTCCGCGATAAAATTTCGTTTTCTTTTTTTGAGTTTCTACAAAAAATATGTGACGAACCTGTTTTCAACCCGTCGTGAGAGTTTGGCCCAGACATATCACCCAATTTTTTTGGGGATTGCCTTTTTCATATCTTCAGCCACGTTGACATACTTACTGTACTATGTAATGGAAAGGGCGGCCAAAGCGTGTGAAGAACCCGAGAACCCCTGAAATGGCAAAAATCGTGATATTTCAAATGTTCAAGTCTTTCCTATCCCAGATCTTCAAAAGTAGGTTTTGTTAAATACCACTCACGTGTTTTTCTTGTACTTAGGGCGCCCCAGGTATATGTAGTATTATGTATGTATATAAGTACAAAATGCAAATAGTGTCATGTCATTCTTGCCACAGCACATATCATTTTATCTGAGGGAGGCCGCACTCCAGGTTGTAACAGCAAACATGACTTGCATTTGGCATTTCATAAGGCCCAAACTGTTGCAGGTAGTATATCTACCATTTTATAACCGTTTTTATATCTTGCTTATTATTTAAGCTGTGACCTCAGAAACCATTTGCCATTTTTTAAGTTTACTTAAGCTACCTGCATGTGTGCAAAAAGTAATTTTCTCTTAGAAGCGTTTATCATTTTGCAAGGTAGACTTTCTTACTGTGTCCTTTTCTTTTGGAATTTGCGGTATTACCAGCAAACACTGAGAAAAAACATACCCGGATAAATAGCCTTTGCAAAGGTTTTTTCTCACAAAACGCTCTGGTGATTGGTCTATACATGACATCTTATAAAATGCATAAATGCGTCCTCCATTAAATTCCTCCTGAACAACCCCAGGCCGTTAATGACAATTCGTGTGCCACGAATCAGGATTTGTGTCCCGGTCCTAGAAACATTGCCATTATATAAGGTTCCGGAGTGGCTGAACGCTCAACCAGAATTGCCATTTTGTAGGCTTCAAGAATTGCCCATTTATAAGGATGGTATATTGGAATTGCCATTCTATAAGGAGGGGCATCATTTTATAAATATGTTTTTCCCCACCTGCCAGGTGAGGGTTGTTAGATTTTATCAGAGTTGTTCTTCTCCTCCTCTTCTTCCTCCTCCTCCTTCTTCTTCTTCTCCTCCTCCTTCTCCTCCACCACCTTTGCATCCACTTCCATGTCCACTTCCGCCTTGCCAACTCTTCGCCAACTTCCGCATGCAGTGGGCACTGCTGGACCTCAACTGCAAGGGTCTGAGCGCACTGGGCACCGCTGGACCTCAACCTGGGACCTTCCGAGCTCAGTGAGCACAGCTGGACCTCAACCTGGGACCCTCCGAGCTCAGTGAGCACCGCTGGACCTCAACCTGGGACCCTCCGAGCTCAGTGAGCACCGCTGGACCTCAACCTGAGACCCTCCGAGCTCAGTGAGCACCGCTGGACCTCAACGGCCAGATAGAATGCCAGAAGATATGCCAGATAGAACGCCAGATAGAATGTCAGAAAGAATGCCAGAAGGTATGCCAGATAAAGTGCCAGAATGTTTGCCAGATAAAACGCCAGAAGATATGCCAGATAGAATGCCAGAAGGTATGCCAGATAGAATGTCAGATAGAATGCCAGAAGGTATGCCAGATAAAGTGCCAGAATGTTTGCCAGATAGAACGCCAGAAGATTTGCCAGATAGAATGCCAGATAGAATGAATGTCAGAAGATATGCCAGATAGAGTGCCAGAAGATATGCCAGAACATATGCCAGAAGATATGCCAGGTAGAATGCCAGAAGATATGCCAGATAGAATGCCAGAAGATATGCCAGATAAAATGCCAAAAGATATGCCAGATAGAATGCCAGAAGGTATGCCAGATAGAATGTCAGATAGACTGCCAGAAGGTATGCCAGATATAGTGCCAGAATTTTTGCCAGCATATGCCAGAAGATTTGCCAGATAGAATGCCAGATAGAATGTCAGAAGATATGCCAGAAGATATGCCAGATAGAGTGCCAGAAGATATGCCCGAAGATATGCCAGGTAGAATGCCAGAAGATATGCCAGATAGAATGCCAGCAGATATGCCAGATAAAACGCCAAAAGATATGTCAGATAGAATGCCAGAAGGTATGCCAGATAGAATGTCAGATAGACTGCCAGAAGGTATGCCAGATAAAGTGCCAGAATGTTTGCCAGATAGAACGCCAGAAGATTTGCCAGATAGAATGTCAGAAGATATGCCAGATAGAGTGCCAGAAGATATGCCAGAAGATATGCCAGGTAGAATGCCAGAAGATATGCCAGATAGAATGCCAGAAGATATGCCAGATAAAACGCCAGAAGATATGTCAGATAGAATGCCAGAAGGTATGCCAGATAAAGTGCCAGAATGTTTGCCAGATAGAACGCCAGAAGATTTGCCAGATAGAATGCCAGATAGAATGTCAGAAGATATGCCAGAAGATATGCCAGATAGAGTGCCAGAAGATATGCCAGAAGATATGCCAGGTAGAATGCCAGAAGATTTGCCAGAAAGATATGCCAGATAAAATGCCAGAAGATATGTCAGATAGAATGCCAGAAGATTTGCCAGTAACAAAACGTATAGATGTCATGGTGGGGATAACTCGAAGTAAAGTAATTTATAAAGCGGCGGTACCCGGGTTCCGGGTCCAATTGTAAGGGGGGTGTTTGATGTATCATTCAAGCAGAGGTATGACGTACCTGACATACCTCAACCCATCGAAACGTCAAAACTCAGGTTTAGACGATTGTTGCTGGGGCTTTCCCAAGATAAACCCTGTGCTTTGCACATGCCAAAGGTTGGTGTTCACCAGATTATGGTTGCAGACCTTCAGATCCGAACTTGCTCCACTCATTGAATTTCAGGTACCGATTTTTAGGAAGCCTACAATCTATAGGGCCTATGGTTTAGGGCTTTATATGGTACACTAGTTCAATTTTTGGGTCTTAATTTGTTCCCGCAAGCGTAGCGAAGGGTTCTCGTTTTACTTTAGAGGTCTGGGGGTCGAGACGTACGCTGCTTTTGTGACCACAACCAAGTGGGGGCAACATGGCCGTGCCTATGGCGAGTTTTGCAAAAGCCGTGACTTTTGTAGGTTTCAAACATCGTGTGGCAGGCGTGGCGCTTTGTGACATTCCAACATGTTTCATAATGTGTCCAAAGTTGTTTTGTGCGACAGGTGTAATACCCTTGCAAGGTTTTCAAAAGATGAGTTGCATTGTTCGTGGCAGGCGCAGCACTTTGGACGTGTCCATCGTCATTTTGCGTGGCAGGCACAGCACTTTAGACGTGTCGTGTTGCGTGTTTTCTGCGGATCTCATGTTCAGGGCTGCATCAAGTGGTGACAACGTGCAAATTCCGTGGCAGGCATGGTACTTTGTGAGATGTGATGAAAATTGACGGACGCCTCGCACGAAACATCGGTTTTCAGGTAGCAATTTTTATCAAATTTTGAGGTTCATGAGAAAACTCGAAGGAAAACATCGGTTTTGTAGCTACAAATTTGCGGAAGTCTTGCACTATTTGAGGCTCCAACATGTCTCGTCACGATTCTCTGATTTTCTTGTGGCGTCGCCGTGTCTATGGCGGGGGAAGCTGCAAAGTTGCGAAGGTTTCAAAACAGGTTGTAATGTCGTTTTGCGTGGCAGGCGTGGAATGTCGTGAAAAGTGTCGAAAGTCGTGTTGTGTGACAGGCGCAAGGTGTTCAGAAGATGAGTTGGATTTTTCTGTGGCAGGCGCAGCACTTCAGATGTGTCGCATTGCATGTTTTTTGCGAATCGCATTGTCAGGGCTGCGTCAAGTGGTGACAAGGTGCAAGTTCCCTGGCAGGTGTGGGACATTGACATCGTGAGAGTGTCATTTTGGGTGGCGCAGTATTTGGTGAAGATCCGTCGTGTGTGGAATGTTCTTTTGCGCGCCAGGTGCAGTATTTGGGACTCTTTACACTTTGCACTTCACAATTGACACTCCACACTCCACACTTTAGACTCCACACTTTACACTTTACACTCCGCACTGAACAATTTACACTCCACACTTTACACTTGACACTCCAAACTCTACACTTCACACTTTACACTTGGCACCCCACACTCTACACTCTACACTTTACACTCCACACACCCCACCCTACACTCTACACACTACTGTACATTCTACACTTTACACTCCACGCTCTACACTTTACACTTTACACTCCACACTCTTACACTCTACACTCCACACTCTACACTTTACACTCCACACTCTACTCTTGACACTCCAAGCTCTAAAAGTCGCGCTTTATTCTTCACACCCTACACTCTACACTTTACTCTCCACACTCCACACTTTACACTTTACACTTGACACTCTACACGTTACACTCCACACTTTACACTCTAGAAGTCACACTGTACACTCCACACTCTACACTTTACACTTCACACTCCGCCCCAGAAAATTCACACTTCACACTCCACACTCTACACTTTACACTCCACACTGCGCACTTTACACTTTACACTC